ATTGGTGAGGAAAGGGAATCCCAAGTCCTCCAATCATCTTTTGCCTTTTCAAAACCCCTGGGCCAGGTCACTGCCGGCCAGCCCGTCACATACCAAAAATGCATTCTGTGCAAGGTCAGTTCACTCCTATGTGATCGGCGTGGTGGAAGCCCGCAGTCCGCTGGTTTCTGCGGTGCATTGTGGAAGTGATGCCATAGGCAGAGGAAGAAAAAATTATTTGGTGGGGCTAAGCCAGGTGGTGGTGCCCGGGCCGGGCTGCAGCGCCAGCTCCTGCAGCCCAGGCCGGTCTGGCCCCGTCAGCGCTGTGCCCTGGGAGCTGGGAGCCATGAAACCATCCAGTAGCAGCACCTGTGGCTGGAGCTCACTGGCCGCCGCAGCCGGTGCCTGTGCTTCTGGAGCTGCAGGTGTGCTTGTGTGCAGTGTCTGCTGTTGGTGAGTACCAAAATTGTCTCGTAAAAGTGGTAGAAATGAGTCTCGGGGTCAGTATAGTCAAGGTCTTGGAAGGTATCCCTATTTGTTACATTGTAAAGTGGGTTCCCTTTATGTGCATTGGAGTTATGCATCCTTTTCCAGGAATGCATGTACAGCATAAAGCGAGGGAAACCTGTATTTTAAAGGTACGCGATGGCATAAGGAGCAGGGTAATACTCACACGGCTCAAAATATTCAGAATGAAGTTGCTCTGCTACTTTCTATTCCCAGTGCCTTGCCCCCCAGCAAGCACGTACAACCACCACTAGCCGTGATATTTAGTGACCATGCTGCATGTTTTACTTTCAGACCTGGTTTTATGCCTCATCTGATTAAACCTCCCAACACCCCTGTAAGAGAGGCATCCTTTTGTAGATTGGGCATCTGAGGTGCAGTAGAGTTAAGTGCCTTGCTCACAGTCAAGGAAGGGTCATATAGCCCCCCATAGCAAAGGAGCCAAGGACCTGAGGCCATTGGGTATAGGTGAGCTGGTCCAGGTCCACAGGGGACTGCAGCACATGGGTGGAAACAGTTCCCTTCAACAGCAATAATGTCGACAAGAAGTGGAAAGTCGCTCCAAAGGCTTACACCCTTGCAGGACTTTGAGGCCTAAGGGGCTTCAGTAGGCTGACCATAAAGGCTGAATCCCTAGGGTGATCTATGGATCAGTTATTTTAGGCCTCCTGCACCTCAGCAAAGACTTGAACTGAAGACCCAGCAGTGATGATGGTGCTTGATGTAAGGAAAACTAGCACTCTGCATGGAAGTGTGAGGCAGGACCACGGGTTGCAGCAGGAAAAAGGCACTGGGAGGTCAGCCTGTGTATATGCAGGGGCTGAATCATCCCTGCGAGCAGCTGCCTTCATGAAAAGTGGGTGTAGTTGTACCAGCGTGGCGCCCTGCCTATACGACCCTGAATGCAGTGCACAGAACAACAGCAACTGGGTCACCCTTGATGAGCTCCACTGATGCCAGAAGGGTTACGCCAAGGCTGGAGTAGATCTGCAAAGGGTAAATGAATGATTAGGCTGTATCTTTAATAAGATTACTCAGAACCTGCATGGTCATATGACTCATCAGTGGCCATCTTGGAGCTCTTCCAAAAGCATCAAACAAGAAAAATAGGACGAAATCAGCTTCTGCATCCAGACTGCAAGTACCCACTGTATCTGTTCTTCTACTACATGGCTACAGCAATATCTGTGGGTCAGGACTGAGAGACTTACTGTCTTGCATGTGCATAGCTCGATGATTTAAGAAAACTAGCTGTGGCTATATCTAAAGGGCACAATGCACCTCCTGGTAAACGAAGTGATTTGTAGGACAGCACAGCTGGCTTTTCAAACTGGTTTAGAAGAGTAGATCTGGCCCTTGTCTAGCGCATCAATGAGAGCTGCGTGTATGTGAAAACCTGGTTCTGGGAAGATGTGGAAAACCTTTTTTTTTTTTGTATTTCTTCATGCTCTCAAGTAGCTTTGTCTAATGTAACTCCTCATCTCCACAGACTCAGAGGAATTCCTTTTAAACCTTGCTTGGCAGCCACCTTTGGTGTGTCATGTTTCCCTTAAGCGTTTGCTCTCCCCGGGCCTGGCAGAGACCAGCCTAGATGCTGGATTTGTAGCAGTCACTTGGTAGTCGGTGGTGCAGGTGCTGTTTCAAATGTAACCCTTGTTTTCCTCTGCCTCACCACTTCCTCCATTCAGGTGAGCCGGGCCCAGGGTAAGACTGCCTAAATGTTTAAGAGGTGATTAAACCGAGGCCAGAGGTCCCTGCTATCCTCATTGCCACGGCAAGAGAAAATAACAAGCAAACGGTGGCTTTCAAAATATCTCCAGACCTGTGCATTCGCCATTTGTAACCTGTGCAGTGCGCTGCTGATCAAAAGCATGTCTGAGTTAATAGGAGTGGGCTGACCACTTTCAATTCATGATCTGACTGAGGTGTAACGTTCCTGCTTTTTAGTTTTTCATGGCAAAAGAGCATGCTTGGCTTCCTCTGTGTAGTCTGCCCCACAGGAGTGCTGAACCCCTGAGCTAGGAGAGGGGAAGGGGAGGTGTGATGGCAACTCCTTGAGCGTTTGTAAATGTTCAGCAATGTGGGGACGCTCTTGTGGGTAACACAATGGCTTTGCTGCTTTGTTTGTCATTGAGGGTTCCCCGCTGGGCCAGTTGTCGTCTGCTGTGCGGCCGCCGTATGCCTTGCCAAGCCCAGAGAATTATTTTTGCATGCAGCTCTGCTCTTTGTGCCTCTCCCCACACTAGCCAGGCACGTCATTAATTCTGCACTCGTGCAGGGTGGGGTTCACTCGTGGTTCATTGCAGCAATTTGTGGATGCAGAAACGTGAAACCATGCCACTGAGGTGGTAGGAAGCTTTCTGCCTTAATGAGATAAAGGTAGGGACATTGGGCATAGAGACCCCTAGAGACTGCTCCTTAGAAGCCTATGGAAGATGGTCCTGTGGGTAAAACACTAGACTGGCACCCAGGAGACACGGTTTTGGTTTCGAGCTTAGCCAGAAATCGGTGACCTTAATCATTGGATGCCTCGGCTCATAACAATGCTAATCGACCTTGGGTGGGGTGCTCATTAAACATGCCGTTGGGCCATGCACATCGCAGGAGAGAAGTCCCAGTAACGCTGGGTTGATTCTTCCTCCGTCTGATAGCAATGCTGTGGACAGGTTTTGCTGTGTTGGGGTCATGGGGGTGACACCTTGAGAGCTGAAGCCACCTCTTTCCTGCATGGCTGTGCTAGAGCTCGCAGCATGTTTTTCGTCTAAATAAAAGTCGGGGGGAAAAAACACCGCCCCCCCCCCTCCCCCCAGCCCTGCTCTTTTACTGTGCACAGGTTGTCTGCTCCACTCCAGTCCGGCAGCGGCTGAATCTGAGCGGTGCTGGAGAGATGTCTCTGGCTTGTGAGACGCCAGGAGACCCTTGTGGTCGCTAGATGCTATATAAATGTAGCGATTTATGATGCTTTTATTGTAGCGGCCATTTGATGGGCCTGCCTCCAGTTTAAAGGCCAGTATCACACAGGCAGGTCTTGGGTAGTTGAGAGTCACACCGTGTCTCTTGTTCCAGGCATGTTTTATAAGTGCCAGGTTGCCACGCTAACCTGGTCATAAAACCAAATGGTATCCCAGCACTTCCTTAAGCAGCATGTCAAACACCCAGTGCCCTCAATTATTTATGGGGCTGGTGTGGCATATTTAGATTCAGCTGAATCTCAGCTTCCATTTAAAAAAAAGAAAAAAAGAAGTGATACATTTCTGGCTTTGGTGATGGCAAAAAAGACAGGAAAAAAAAATTCCCAAATATGAGCAGTATGTAACAGCGGAGAATTGTCTTCCGGAGCCTGCAGGCGGACTGGACAACAGCCCTGGACACACAGTCCCCTAACCGTTCGTGCCATGTGGCGATGACTCTGGCGCCTAATGGTGGCAAGCCACGTGTTGCCGTGATCTTTTTAGCCCCGATCGACCTCTCCGGTGGGATGGGTTTTGAGAAAGGAATCAAGCCCACAGGGTATCTAGAAGATGGTGTAAGAAAGGAAATGCAGAATATCTTTTCCTGCTGGGATTGCCAGTGTAGAGGTGGCCAGTGGTTGCCTATCAAGTTTGACAGCTTGTAGAGATGCACAAAGCACTGTGCCTGGGCACTGGAGGGATGTCATATTAATACGTGTTTCCAGACAGCACGCCATACATTAAAGCTCTTGTACTTGCTAATAATAATAATTATAATAATAAAGAGCACCTTATTGCTGATGGTTTCTGGGATTTTAAAGGAAGCAACAGCTTTCACAGAAAGTTTCTGGACTCGCCTGCCTTGGGGGCCCGGCAGACCCTGGGGCTCAGATGTGGGGTTGCTCTAGCCATGGTGGGGGTAGTGTGCAAGGCTGGCTGAGCCGCTGCCCTGCTCCAAGGCGGTGGCCCCCCTACTGCGGCTCAGCATTGGGTGCTGGCTCTGTGCTGTGCCATCCAAGCTGGACTGTGATGGGAGCGCTCCACTCGCTCCAGAAGCCCTTCCCATCTGCGTGCTTGCAGCGAACCTGGAGGCGGTACGTGGTGCCTGGTGTCACGTCCTCGAGGGAGTAGCTGATCTGTTCACCCACATTGGGTTCTCTCTAACAGGGAGGAAAGAACAAGGACTATTTTGAGGACTTTCGCTTCTCTTCCCCAGAGAACACTTCCCTTTCTCTGTATGCCGGGGTTACAAGGAATAACAGAAAGGAAGGAGGGTACTAATAGCACCCAGCATCTCCCCGACGCTTCTCAGGCTTGGCTGTGCATACAGTGGAGGCAGAGAGATGTGACATGCCCAAGGCCTAGGCGGCATTGCTGTCAAAGGCTACTATAAGAGCTCAGGTGCTCTCAAGGCCATGCCCTGGGCTTGCTCCACCAGGCAACCCAGTTCAAGACCTCAGGAAACGAGTACATAACTGGAGAGGCTTGCTTTTTAAACAGGGTCTGATCTCTACTCAGACACCACTGCTTGCAACAGGGGGGGAAGGCTGTGCAGTCACAGTCTGGCTTACAGAGGAGGCAGGCAGGAAAAGAAAGCAACTCCAAACTATGGTGCAAGAAAAAAAGGCTTCATTTCCTTTGTTTATGGGGCCTCCAACCTGGCTGGCATTGTACAGAGCGCATAGAGTCACCTAGCGGCAGAATAATATGCTGCAGGCACTGAGATCCTGACAAAACAATCAAGTCAGACCACGCACGTGGCAGCCGGCCCCCTTTGGTAACAGGGTCTCAAAACCGGTGTCACCTGCTGTGCTTGTCATGTGTCTGCAAACAAAATAGTGGGAAAGACTAGCTAGGACCAGTGGCAGGTCAGTGGGAATTAGTCAGTGGAGCTGCACGCATATGCGGGTGCCCAGCCTAGCCTACGGCGTGCAAGACGGGTGCTCCAAAGCACGCTACTTTCTGGTGACTCTCAAGCAGCTCTTACACCAGTGGGAGCACAGCCTGTTCGAGGCACGGTGCTGACACACTCGTGCTCTGGCTGGAGCGGAGGATGAGGGAGAAGTGGCTGCCCGCTGCCCGTGCTGTCTCTTTGCTGGCTGGGCTGGGAAAGGAGTCTTCCCTTGCCGGCGTAAGGCAGCTTTCTGGCCTGCAATGGCACCAGAGGGGCAGGAACAAAAGCTGTTCTCTACATTGGAAACTTAAGCTGATTGTGTCTTCTTTGTCTTTTTGCTTTTCTTGTACAAGAATCACTGAGTTAAGGGATGGTTTGCTTGCCTAGCCCATCTTCCTGGCCAAACACAGGACTGTCTCCAAAAGGGGCTGAGATTTTCAGTCCTTTCCAGAGCTGTATGATCACAAGTCAATAATCTAAGATGCTGACTGCAGAGGCGGATCCATTACCTGTATATGCCGAATGCAGTCAGGAGAGCTGGGCAGGGGTGAGTTTGCTCATGAAGTTTGCTTTCCTTGGGACAGAGCATGTCCTGGGGTTGAACACAGTGTCTTCTGAAGCCTCCTCCCCTGTTTTCATTCTGCATTTGCATTTCATGGGAGCCGTACAGACTGACATGGCTCAAGGTTTTTTCCAACCAGTTATGGTTACCCGGGGTTCGTGTGAGAGAAGCTTCTCCTGTGTTGTATTACAAGCATAGGTGGTGTAAGGCCTAAAGACAGAGGTAGACTCACCTTCCACTCCCTGCTCCCCTGCTCCTGGTACCAGAGTTCAAACACCAATGGGTAAAAGGAGGCAGCGATGCCTGGTGGGTACTGCCATTCCACAGACAGGTGGGTGCCAAATCCCTCCGCGGTCAGGCCTGTCGGTGGTTCTGTTTTGGCTGTATATTTAAAAAAAAAAATCTGATAAGGGAATCAAATCACTTTGTGCCTGTGCTGGACTTAAGCATAGTGGGTCTCTGTGTGTCCTGTGTGTATCTGCATGCGATCAGAAGTTTGCTTGTGGTCCCGGGTCAAATTTTCAGACGTGTCTAAGAGATTTTAGATGCCCTTTTTACATTGAGGGAAGGTTGGGGGCCTCGAGGCCCGGTTGCTTTTGACAGTGCAACTAAGTCCAGGGTCCCTTAGACATCCCTGATGAGTTGACCCCTAGTCTCTACAGCTAATGACAAACAAGAGAAAACCACTCCAAAATGTTACTAGTATCTTTAGTTTAACAGGGTGATTCTCCCTGTAAACCTGGCAGGCCAATGGTGCAGTGATGAGTACAGCTCCCCTTTGAATTTCAGCTTAAGCAGGCCCTGGGAGCTGTCATTTAAAAGCAAACCAGGGAGCAGCTGGCAGTAAAATTACACAGGGCTGCCCTGTCTAAGGACAGCAATGTCAGAAATGCTGCTGGCCAAGACATCGGGCAGCTTCCTCGCTTACCCTGGAAGTCCTGCCAGGGTAGGTCAGGCCCCTGCAGCGCTACAGGGATTGTAGGGACTCCCCTCTTCTGCTTTCCAAATACCCACCAAAAATAATGAACTGATGATGAGCACCAGCAACTACCAGACTTGGGCGAACCTTTCCTCGGCTTTGGCTCCCCATGTTCCTAGTTGGGCAGCGGCACAAGCCCACATAGCTCACTTCTCCTGCTTGAAAGCCCAGTTTTGGGAATGCGGTTACACACCAGCCTGACTTCGCTGGGACACAAGCATGGACTCAGATGCGCTCAGATGGGCTTACTTGGACGGGAACTGAGCGAAATCCCCCAAAACCTCGCCTGTAAATGGGCAAGACCCCCCCCCATGTGACAAAGCCCGCGTCTCGTGCTCGGGGGCAGGTGCTAATGTCATTCTTGTGGGTGCAATAAGGCAGGAAAGCATCACAACTGAGTAGGCTATTGTGAGTGTTCATAGCTTTGCACGGGGAGAACTAGCAGGCCTCCCTTTGCAATCTGGTGGCAGCTTTTTTTTCCCCCTCCTTCAGGGGCTGCTGTGTTTTCTGTATTCTCCAGTTTCTGCTTGTTTTTATAACCTCCTTGACTGAAAAAGGGCAGAGGTTGGCAGCTGATGGGTTAGAGAAGAGGTGTTCGGGTCAGGGGAGGAGACCTCTCCCTCATCTGCTGAGCGGCACAAGCTGGTTTCGGCACAGAAGTACCCAGTTCAGTCCCTGGCAGAAAGACTCGGCTTCTAGCACACGTAGTGTGTGTGTGTGTGTGTGTGTGTGTGTGTGTGTGTGTGTGTGTGTGTGTGTGTGTGTGTGTGTGTGTGTGTGTGTGTGTGTGTG